AGGTATTTGAGTTCAACATGTAAGAAGTAGAAAGTACAGGTATTTGGGTTCAACATGTAAGAAGTAGAAAGTACAGGTATTTGTGTTCAACATGTAAGAAGTAGAAAGTACAGGTATTTGGGTTCAACATGTAAGAAGTAGAAAGTACAGGTATTTGAGTTCAACATGTAAGAAGTAGAAAGTACAGGTATTTGAGTTCAACATGTAAGAAGTAGAAAGTACAGGTATTTGGGTTCAACATGTAAGAAGTAGAAAGTACAGGTATTTGGGTTCAACATGTAAGAAGTAGAAAGTACAGGTATTTGTGTTCAACATGTAAGAAGTAGAAAGTACAGGTATTTGAGTTCAACATGTAAGAAGTAGAAAGTACAGGTATTTGGGTTCAACATGTAAGAAGTAGAAAGTACAGGTATTTGTGTTCAACATGTGAGAAGTAGAAAGTACAGGTATTTGGGTTCAACATGTAAGAAGTAGAAAGTACAGGTATTTGAGTTCAACATGTAAGAAGTAGAAAGTACAGGTATTTGGGTTCAACATGTAAGAAGTAGAAAGTACAGGTATTTGGGTTCAACATGTAAGAAGTAGAAAGTACAGGTATTTGAGTTCAACATGTAAGAAGTAGAAAGTACAGGTATTTGGGTTCAACATGTAAGAAGTAGAAAGTACAGGTATTTGAGTTCAACATGTTAGAAGTAGAAAGTACAGGTATTTGGGTTCAACATGTAAGAAGTAGAAAGTACAGGTATTTGAGTTCAACATGTAAGAAGTAGAAAGTACAGGTATTTGTGTTCAACATGTAAGAAGTAGAAAGTACAGGTATTTGAGTTCAACATGTAAGAAGTAGAAAGTACAGGTATTTGGGTTCAACATGTAAGAAGTAGAAAGTACAGGTATTTGTGTTCAACATGTAAGAAGTAGAAAGTACAGGTATTTGGGTTCAACATGTAAGAAGTAGAAAGTACAGGTATTTGAGTTCAACATGTAAGAAGTAGAAAGTACAGGTATTTGAGTTCAACATGTAAGAAGTAGAAAGTACAGGTATTTGTGTTCAACATGTAAGAAGTAGAAAGTACAGGTATTTGAGTTCAACATGTAAGAAGTAGAAAGTACAGGTATTTGGGTTCAACATGTAAGAAGTAGAAAGTACAGGTATTTGGGTTCAACATGTAAGAAGTAGAAAGTACAGGTATTTGTGTTCAACATGTAAGAAGTAGAAAGTACAGGTATTTGTGTTCAACATGTAAGAAGTAGAAAGTACAGGTATTTGGGTTCAACATGTAAGAAGTAGAAAGTACAGGTATTTGTGTTCAACATGTAAGAAGTAGAAAGTACAGGTATTAGCAGTACTCAAGTTGTAAAAAGAAATCAGGGGGGATGGTGGATTTTATAGGGACATAATTTGTGCTGATAACCCGCCGAGGGTGGGAGACCAACCAGCATAAAGATAATTATTATACTCCTAAAACAACATGCATGTTATGGATGTTCAGATACTCCTGTCATTGCTCTTGACCAAGGCACCTCAGAATTAGAGTCGGTCCCCGGGCTGCCATGGCACCACTAACATTTAGGGTCAAATGCAGAGGACAATTAGTGCACAATCTTTTTTTCACTTTAATTGAAAGGGGGGGAGGGGATACAAAAATGTGGTCTATGGCACAAATCTTGTAGGTTAACAGTCCCTCGTTTATTATTCAGATGGATCAACTGATTACACTAATAATAAAGTCAAAATTGTTTTTAGAATATTGAATTATAGTGTATTTTTTCAAAAAAGCAGTTACTGGTATACGATCAAAACTGGTATCTAAAGGGTTACATTTGTATCGTAATTAATTTAATCATTGTGTAAATTAAACACATTTAGCCACTTTGAGCACCTGTAAAAGCGCTTACAAAATAAATCTATTTTATATATATAAATAAAATAATAGATTTATTTTATATATAAATAAAATAATAGATTTATTTTATATATAAATAAAATAATAGATTTATTTTATATATAAATAAAATAATAGATTTATTTTGTGTTCAACATGTGAGAAGTGCTCAAAGTGGCATTACAGAGGTAGTAAAAAAAAAGGACATAAATATAGTGTCATCATATTCATAACATATATATATGATTCTTTAATGGGACATAACAAGTACTTTTTTTTTGTACTTTAAGTATATTCTGATGCCATTTGTTTTTTGACGATGTGGTAAATACTAATAGATCTGAGCATGGGCGTAGGAAGCATCCTCAATGTGGGCGGGACAATTTATGGTGTTGGGATATATATTTTTTAAATCCTCTGGAGCAGAGAGGAGCTGTGGATTATTGTTATTGATGAATGCATCAGTGTTTCTTAGGGTCAAGAACACTAAACTCACAACTTAAAATGAAAGTGTTTAGTTTATTTAACAAAAGAACACATGACAGTATAGATTACTTGCAAATCAATTCTATATATATATATATCTTTAATTTTATTTATTTTTTAAAGTGAACTATCTAAACCTCAGAGTCCTTTACCTCACTGAGCTGTAGCTCTCAGTCTGACAGGAGAGGACTCTTCCTCCACCTCTTTAATAAAAGAGCCTTATATCCGGGTGCTAGTGGAGCATGCTCGTGAACTGTTAGCGCTGGAACCTCGCAGCGTGGAAACTGGCGCGCATAATTTTACAACTAAAGACACAGCTACACAAAAGACGCAGCATGTGTACGGCTCAGAGAATCTGCCTTGGTACAAAGTAGCAGTGAAAACATGGCACGGAGTTTCATTGATTTGGGCATTCTCACAATGAGCAAGTGGAATGGATTTGATAGTGAAGCTCTGACACAGCGCTCTACAAAGAGTGGCGACGGACTTTCCACATAGTAAAAGTGGAGGGTCTAAACTAATCATTTTAAAAGGTGGGGGGGACTTGTCAACGCCCATGGATCTGAGTGCTTCTTCCATCTTACGTTAATCCCCTTGTGTTTCCTTCTTCCTCAGCGAGAGCCAGGCAAGAGCGATGCCTGGTCATCGTACATGGCCGAGGTAAAAAAGTACAAAGCTCACCAGTGTGGCGACGACGATAAAACCCGACCTCTCGTCAAGTAAAAACTCCGTCAGGCGGGATCAAACTACAAAGTGTTGAGAGGGGAAGCCACCTGGAGACGTTCCTCCTGCTCTCTCCAGACTTCCTGTTCCAGAATCCATCCTCATGAAGTCTCTCACAAACTGCTTCAGACCCTCCTCCCTTCCTTTTTGTATTTCATGTACTTTATTTTGCTTTGTTTGTCTCGTTGGGATGTCAGAAGGTGTTTCAGGATCCGTTTATTTTTTGATCATATTGTTTCATGTTTTCAATTCTTTGTCTGGGTTCAGTTTGGGCATTTTTAGTTAGTTTGGATTTGATTTTAAAGCCGAATCAAGGTGTCAATTAAATCTACACTGCCCAATGACCCGTGGTGTTGTGCTTCAGTTTTGTTTGATCCTCTTACAGATGCTGCCTTAAAGGAATGTTTCCCACAACAATAGTATCGTTTTCAATAACTCACCTTGTGTTACCTTTTTTAAAAGAGGCCCTATTTTACTTTTTGAGGACTCTTTAAAGTAGAAACACTACATACTGATATACACCTGAACATCAGCAGGAGAGGACTCTTTAAAGTAGAGACACTACATACTGATATACACCTGAACATCAGCAGGAGAGGACTCTTTAAAGTAGAGACACCACATACTGATATACACCTGAACATCAGCAGGAGAGGACTCTTTAAAGTAGAGACACCACATACTGATATACACCTGAACATCAGCAGGAGAGGACTCTTTAAAGTAGAGACACTACATACTGATATACACCTGAACATCAGCAGGAGAGGACTCTTTAAAGTAGAGACACTACATACTGATATACACCTGCAAGTGAGCATAATATCCTCTTTGAAATCATAAAAGGAAAACCTTTTATATTTGCCTTTCCTCCACTCAGCGGCGAATAAAAATAAGAAGTTTTGATGTAAATAGGAGACTGCAAAGTGCTTCCCAAATATGAATTTTTGCTAAAACGATAACTTAGACACTTCTGCATGAACAGTCCCACTCTCAAAGGCTTCCAAGTGCTTTAAATAGTAAGGTTTAAAGGTCCCATGTCATGCTTTTCCTGTTATTACCCGTCCCCTTGTGTTATGAAGGTTTTTCTGCATGTAAACGGTCTGCAGAGTCAAAACCCTCAAAGTACTCCCTGTAGCGAGTAAAACTCTAACACAGAAAATACCTGTGTATGCTGCCCCAGAACGCCTCGTTGGAGATTTCTCTTTTTCTTCCTGGGTACAGTGACGTGCCCATACCCAAATGGACCAATCCGCGGACTTCCTCACACACTCCATCTTTTCTCAGCTGCAGCTCCGCCGATTTCTCCTCCCTGGGACGCGGCGAGGCTGTGAGTCGGTGTGTGAGCACACACACAAACTCCCAGCCAGGCTGTGGTGTGTGTGTGTTCGGGCTGGGTTTCACTGTCTCGCAGACGGCCACTGGGCTCACAGGGGGGAAGGGGGGGGGGCAGGACCTCCAACAAGCCGTGTAGGACAGAGAGTGAATACACATACTATACAGAGATGCTGTTTGAGAAACCAATGTGAGTTTGGAACATTGCACAATTTAAATGTATTCTAGTAGAACTCAACAATGGAATTATGATCAGCAGAAATGACCATGACACGGGACCTTTAAGTGAAAAAACAACATGATTAACAGAATACATTAGAATTAGCTTTTACTATAAGAGTTTGTAAACATGTTTGATATAGATTTACCCAATTCATCAAGGTTTTTGATTCACTGGAGGCGAGCAATGAAGCAATGCATCACAGGATGAAGAATTGATATAAAAATGATACTTTATCTGGGGTGAAATACTCCTTTAGGTGCTCAGAAAAACATTGGTTTCAACCCCAAACCCTTCACTCTCATTTGACTTCAATGCAAGACCCTGTTAAAGAATTTCAGACTTCAAGTGACTCCGTTGAGAAGGGAAATTATTTAATTAAAAGCAAGTTCTATACAGAAATTCATTCAAGAGTTCAAGTACAATAAAAAAACAAAAAGCGTACAGCTCTCATTGAAAAAACAAAAAGCTCAAACACAGGTATCAGTGATAATTACATGATAAAAACAGACAAACTGACCATGCATCAGAGAGGGAGACACACGAAGGCACACGCTCAATCCCAGCTACCAAAACCTTTCACACACTCGTACACACACCTAAAAATCCCATTCATCCTTCTCCCTGTCCACAGTGATATAGGTCTATCTTGTAAACATTGACAACTGTTTGTCATTTCATTTTGCGGCATAGAGAGGTGCAGGAATGAGTCCTAAAACCCGAAAAGGAGTCAGCATTTTTAGCACTTCCTGACCCCTGGTCTAAAAGCCAATGTTTTTTTAACTTGGTTTTGAGCCTGAAATAAGGTCAACACGAACATTAACTTATTTTACTTCACGCTAGCCCTAAGAGTTGTTTCGGACCAAATGGAAAGTTTAAGGTCAGCAGGACTGCCTGAATTTAACACACAAAAAGACTCCTGGTCATTTTAGCTTTTAACCGACACGTCACATGTGGACCGGGTTCAAGCTGAGGACGTTGTTATTACGTGGGCCCTGTTTAACTATAAGGGCGCACTACAGGGTTAAATGAATGGCCAACAAAACGTAAAAAATCCAACTTATACTTGGTTTTATACACAAGTGTCTTACATCAACACTGAACATGTCTCGTTTATCTTCAGACGCTGCGTCTCAATGTCTGAACTACTGTGCTCACATGAGTGCATAACTGCGTCAGTAAAAACCCCACTGATGAATTTAAAAACAGCGGTTGTTAACAAGTGACTAAATGAGACTACTAGACGGCATCACGACCAACATTAGCCGCCTTTAGCTTAGCAGTGGTGACGTGAAGTCATGTGACCGTTCTGTAGTTCCTTTATAGCCTAACATTAGCCGCCTTTAGCTTAGCAGTGGTGACGTGAAGTCATGTGACCGTTCTGTAGTTCATTTATTGCCTAATGTTACTTTATGCAAGTGGTGTTAACGTGTGGAGATTATCCTGCTGATCAAAACATGTAAGTATCATGTTTTTATACAGAGTTCATTTTTTTTCAATAATCCAAAATCTCATGAAAAAAATCCCATTGTCTTTTTGCAGAGGGAACAGAGAGCAGCTAACTTCCGGGTCAACCTACAAAAATATGTCATCCCTGCACCGCTCTATAGTATTTAAACGTTATCAAATCACCTTAAAAAAAAGTTATATTTCACTGTGGTTTTTATGAAAAGTGGATCCTCTCAGATCCAGGAAGTATAACACGGTGCTCCTTTTATTAGAGTCCTCCGTCCCCTGAAGCTCCTCCTGATTCTACTCCTGGTCGTTTCCTGACCCCGGGGTATCATAGCGTCTTCCTCTTAGCGTCGCCCCCCTGGCTTTGAGTGACATCTGGATGGGGGACAATACACATGTTAGAAGGTCACCTATTATGCAAAATCCACTTCTTCATGTCTCTTCTACATCAACACGTGTCCCCTCTTCTTCATGTCTCTTCTACATCACCATGTGTCCCCTCTTCTTCATGTCTCTTCTACATCAACATGTGTCCCCTCTTCTTCATGTCTCTTCTACATCAACATGTGTCCCCTCTTCTTCATGTCTCTTCTACATCAACATGTGTCCCCTCTTCTTCATGTCTCTTCTACATCAACATGTGTCTCCTCTTCTTCATGTCTCTTCTACATCAACATGTGTCCCTCTTCTTCATGTCTCTTCTACATCAACATGTGTCTCCTCTTCTTCATGTCTCTTCTACATCAACATGTGTCCCCTCTTCTTCATGTCTCTTCTACATCAACATGTGTCCCCTCTTCTTCATGTCTCTTCTACATCAACATGTGTCCCCTCTTCTTCATGTCTCTTCTACATCAACATGTGTCCCCTCTTCTCCATGTCTCTTCTACATCAACATGTGTCCCCTCTTCTTCATGTCTCTTCTACATCAACATGTGTCCCCTCTTCTCCATGTCTCTTCTACATCAACATGTGTCCCCTCTTCTTCATGTCTCTTCTACATCAACATGTGTACCCTCTTCTTCATGTCTCTTCTACATCAACATGTGTCCCCTCTTCTCCATGTCTCTTCTACATCAACATGTGTCCCCTCTTCTTCATGTCTCTTCTACATCAACATGTGTCCCCTCTTCTTCATGTCTCTTCTACATCAACATGTGTCCCCTCTGTGGAAAGAGACTCTGAAAGTTTCAGGAACAAAGATTCTCTCTCTTTTTGTCCTGATCCATTTCTATCTGAAAATGAGCTGATCAGATTTTGGCCACTTTGTGATGTCATAACGATGTTTTGTCTTGTGTAACCATTAGCCAATCAGCAACCAAGGTAACCCCCCCCCTCCCCCCTTATCACCTGAATCTCCTCTAGAGCACCATTGAGTTCTTTGTAACCAAATGTCTCTCAGAGGGGCGTGGGGAGGGGCTCCTTATTTTCATCTAAAGTAACAGACAGAGAATCAGCACTTTGGAAACAGGGCTGAAACAGAGGGGATTATGGGTAATGCTGCAATGATCTGTTTGGTATTTCAGCCAATCAGAGACAGGCTCTGGATATATCTGAGAGCTGTGATATATTGATGAGAAACAGTATAATAGGAATTGGAAAATCGGAAAAGACATAATGGACGACGGATAAAAATGAGTACATGAAGACATGCTGACGCCAACAAACAAGCAACAGGACGAGAACACCAGACACTTGAGAGGGGGAGGGGGGTTAGTGGAGCAGGCTTTGAGGAGGGGAGGGGGGGGGGGATTTTACCTGAGAAAGCGAGCTGCAAGTGAGGAGGCAGAGCAACCTGAGACCCTGACTGGAGACTCTTATACAGATCTGAGGAGACAGGACAAGGGAACAAGGAGGGAAGGGAAGGAGGTGAGGAAGGTGGGAGGTAATGACAGCCCAACAGAGGAGGAGGAGGAGGAGGAAGAGGAAGAGGAAGAGGAAGAGGAAGAGGAGGAGGAGGAGGAGGAGGAGGAGGAGGAGGAGGAGGAGGAGGAGGAGGAGGAGGAGGAGGAGGAGGAGGAGGAGGAGGAGGAGGAGGTAGAAGAACAATCAGGTGAAATATATGTGGAAAAGAGGGAGGGATTTGGGGGGAAATGAAGAAAACAAAATGGAATAATGTCAGACAGGAGAAAAATCACATCTGACAAACAGTATGGTGATAAACAGACGCTATAACATAAAACACAGAACAACACACCGCCTGATGCGTCAACAAATACTTCACTGATAGCGTATTTCCACTACAGCGCTGAGCTCGCTTTAAGCGAGCCGTGCCCGGCCCGTTTTTGGTTGCGTTTCCACTTGGCGTAGTTCCGGCTAGCGGGTACTTTTTCAGTTTTTCTGGCCCCATAAAATTGAGGTTCTTTCCGGGCCAACCAGGCTGAGTCGGGCTGAGTATGCTAAACTAGAGAGAGAATCGCTGGCAAGGGGGCTACAACTACAACAAGATGAACATATTTGACCGTGATTTAATTGTAATACACGTTTCAAAATGATGCCGAAGTAACAACATACTGATACCGGTTAGTAAAAACCATGAATTAATGCTTTGACAACTCTGCAGACAGACGGCAGGCGAAAAACCCTTTTAAAAGGCGTGTTAAGCTAACGCAGTATATGCTCCGACCGTCCACACTCACAACAACAGCCTACGGACATAAATAAAGCAGCGACTGTATTCGCCATGACACAGGCAGTCTGTGGTTTGTACTTGTTTAACTTCTGTCTAGTTTCTGAACAGATATGAGGAGCTGTGAGCTCTGAGTGCTAACAGCTAACGGCTGATGTTGGTTTTGTGTTTCTCATTGAAGATGACGTCACGGCTCCGCCTACACTGCGTTACTATAGTTACTGCCCCAGCTACTAAACTGTAATGGAGACACAGCATAAAGTGAGCCTGGCCTACCAAGGCCTAACTATACCGTACTAAGCAGTGCGAGGTCCTGCAGTGCAAATGCGCCATTAGACTATTGATGCATATGAAGTACCTGCAACCTACTATTTTAAGAAGAACCCACATTTTTGTATACGTACACTACCTAATATCTCAATTGTTAAACCTCATCATTACAATTGAAAAGGTTTAGAAGTACTGAAGCTCAAATGTACTTTAAGTATTAAGTATGCTGAATGGCTTATAGTCAAATATTATCAAAGTATTTTTACACATCATGTCAATTTAATGCTATTGTTTGTTACTGTTGAGCCAGTTTTACAGTATGTTCCTCCAAATGGTCGTGGAGTAGAAGTATATTTAACATAAAACGAAAATACTCAAGTAAAGTACAAGTACGTCAAAACCATGGTCAAAACAGTACTTAAGTTAATGTACTTAGTGACACGCCCCACTAGCTTTTAATGTGTTAAAATGAGCTTTTAGAGCGGTGTGATTATATTATCCGTAACGCTTTACGACAATAATCTTCAAAATATAAGAATAACGTTTTTTTTTACACGTGATGTCAATGCAATGCTGCTGCTGTATGATGACAATACAGATATATTCTATTCTTCTAGTCTTGTTGAGCCAGTTTCATAATATGTTCCTCCAAATGGTGGTTGAGTAGAAGTACGTGTAGCATTTAAGGCGAGACACGGCAGGCAAAAACATCGTTTTTCAAGTACTGGTCAATTTTGAGATTTTGTGCTATTTTGATTCCATAACATGTTTTCTTTCAGGCTTTTGGAAGGAAAACGTACAAAATACACATTTAAGTGTTTATTTTACTATAGTTTGTCTATTTGCGTCTGTAGATTTATCCTAAATTCACCAAAAGTTAGCATTCTAACGTAACATAAAGTACCGCGACCGCTGTGTGCACCATGTCAACAGAGGTATCGCTGGAAAGCTCCGTCTCTCCTGCACAATCTCATCGGATCCAAATATGGTCATTTCCTTTGTATCAGCAACCAATCGTGAAAGCACAAAGGGGTCTTAAACCAAGAAACGAAATCTCATTGGCTGGTGTCAATTTCTGACAACGTGATTCGTTCAGATGCGTCACGTGGTGTGCTAAAACACTTCCTGGTTAGCTTTCAGCTAGAAATTGAAATCTCAAAATGCCAAAAGAACGGCGAAAAAAACGTTCACAGAGAAGACGACAACAATTGTCACTTGCACGAAGCAAGGTTATATAAAAAAAAATGACCCTGGACATGAAATACCTTCACGGAGTGCGTCGATGCGCAAGCTGTCATCCAAAGAACAGAGGGTTTAGCTAGCGCCTCACTGCAATCTTTAAAGGTCGTTTTCTCAAAATGAGTTTTTTCTCCTACTCTGAGTTCGAAATTTCAACTTCAGTAGCACGTAGAGACACCAAACCTTCCCGTTATATTCCTATCAATATTATGAAGGCTTTTACAGAAGGGTTTGTTCATATATCATTCATAGCCTGAATTATACAACATTTTATACCTAAAAACATGGCGAAAATGGATATTTTAGGGCTGTTGACAGTATTTTCTGATTTATGGAGTGATAAAAAGAGATATCCAATATCCCTTCTGTAAAAGCCTTAGATACTAATATGACTACAAAATGAAACAAGAATTTTGAATCTGGCTTTATCCAAAGTTCAGATTTCGATTCCTGAAATGTGTTAAAATATGTGCATATTTAATGAGATAATGGTTCATTTGCATATTTAAACATGCTATTTCAGAAACTTGTAATACAAAAGACAATTGCCTTATTGTAAGTAATTAACTGGAGAAATTTCTAGCTGATACCTTTAAGTTAAAAAAATTACCCTATTCACCTGGGGTGTCTCGCCTTAATGGCAAAACTCAAGTAAATCATCTCAAAATAAGTTATAAAAACTTGAGAAAAATCGTTTTTTTTTTTACATTAAACAACTTCAAATGTTAAATGGTATGTGAGGGTTGTAATGTAACAACTCACTCTGAGTGAGGGTGGAGAAGGCGGCGCTGTTTGCTGCGTTGCTGCTGTTGGAGGAGGAGGAGGAGCTGAGAGGAGGAAGGTTCAGCAGCTGGGGGAACTGGAAGGGCAGCGAGACAGGAACCAGACCCCCCAACATCCCAAAGCCCAGCCCGAGGGGGGAGCCGGAGCCCAGCAGACCGCCCCCTGCTGTGGAGACCTGGGGACGGGGGGGGTCATGTTAGAACAACTGTGTATTCAAGATATTTTAAAGGTCACCTATTATGCAAAATCCTCTTCTTCATGTCTCTTCTACATCAACATGTGTCCCCTCTTCTTCATGTCTCTTCTACATCAACATGTGTCCCCTCTTCTTCATGTCTCTTCTACATCAACATGTGTCCCCTCTTCTTCATGTCTCTTCTACATCAGCATGTGTCCCCTCTTCTTCATGTCTCTTCTACATCAACATGTGTCCCCTCTTCTTCATGTCTCTTCTACATCAACATGTGTCCCCCTCTTCTCCATGTCTCTTCTACATCAGCATGTGTCCCCTCTTCTCCATGTCTCTTCTACATCAACATGTGTCCCCTCTTCTTCATGTCTCTTCTACATCAACATGTGTCCCCTCTTCTTCATGTCTCTTCTACATCAACATGTGTCCCCTCTTCTTCATGTCTCTTCTACATCAGCATGTGTCCCCTCTTCTCCATGTCTCTTCTACATCAACATGTGTCCCCTCTTCTTCATGTCTCTTCTACATCAACATGTGTCCCCTCTGTGGAAAGAGACTCTGAAAGTTTCAGGAACAAAGATTCTCTCTCTTTTTGATCCATTTCTATAAAAACCTGTCTGAAAATGAGCTGATCAGATTTTGGCCACTTTGTGATGTCATAACGATGTTTTGTCTTGTGTAACCATTAGCCAATCACCAACCAAGGTAACCCCCCCCCCCCCACCTTATCACCTGAACCTCCTCCTAGAGCACCATTGAGTTCTTTTTAACCAAATCTCTCTCAGAGGGGCGTGGGGAGGGGCTCCTTATTTTCATCTGAAGTAACAGACAGAGAATCAGCACTTTGGAAACAGGGCTGAAACAGAGGGGATTATGGGTAATGCTGCAATGATCTGTTTGGTGTTTCAGCCAATCAGAGACAGGTTCTGGATATATCTGAGACCTGTGATATATTGATGAAAAACAGTAGAATAGGGGAACTTTAAATCAGACATCACATTATGTTTGTAAGCGAATTCATATCAAGGCAGCTCAATGGGTTTTCTTGTTCTGATAAGCAGTCGAGACGAGCTTCATCAGTTTTGCCAACTCTTTCCCAGATATGTAAACAATGGCGCATGTTCCCCGCATGGTACGACCTTCCTTCCCTCGACTATGATCCCTTTTAGCAACCTAGGTTTAAAACAAATGGAAGCTTTTTATACATAATTACATACATCAATGCAATGACGTCCACATTGAGTTAAACGTTAGTGGAAGATGCTGCGTCATAAAATCGCCGTGGAGAATCTCCTTACATCAGCGAGATGAAGACACCAAGCTGCGTGCACTTACAGAAGATGTTATGAACCTCAAGTTTACATCATATTTGGGTTTTCTGCAACAGGAACAGGAATTTCGAGAGCTGCAAACACTCAAAAATATCTGTAATTAAAGAGGTACTATGAGGTGGAAATGTGCTTTGAGTTTAGTCTGAACAAACCTTCACAGTTAGCCCAAATTCTTTACAAAAACATAAGAAAAATGCCTAAATGTGATTCTGCTGCACTGATGAGAGACGTGCTGACTGGACAAACAGGGCATGTCAATATAAATCACAAGAACCAAAGGAAGCACACACTCCTTGTTTCTGCTGTAAACACACGCTCACACACACCTGTGGTAACTGAGAGGAGACGGAGGACGACGTGACGGACACGACCTGTTTGGCCCCCTGAGAAGTCCCGCCCCCGAGCCTCTGACGCTGCCCCTGATTGGCCGAGACGATGATGGGGGAGGCACTGGATCCTGAATGCTTGCTGATGGATGAGGCGTTAATAAGGCTGGTGTTGGTGGTACTGCTGCTGTTGTTGGGGGTCTTCTGCCCCCCCGGGGGAGTGTAGCTGCCCGGCTTCACCACCTGGACTCCTGAGAACTGGGGGGAGCGGAATGGGGTTTTGGCGGAGTACTGGTGGAGGGGGGGGGCGGCCTGAGACCTTTGGGGGAGGGTTTGGGAGATGACGGGGGAGGCGGAGGTCGTGGTGACGAGGGTGGGGCGGGCGGTGAGCTTCACGATGCTGCTGTGGGTGGATTTTGTGAGGGTGGCGTGCATCGGGGTGATGAAGTTAGACTGTGGTTGAGGGAGGGGGGTCGAGGGTTTAGAGAGGGGGAGGGTGGAGAGTTTAGAGAGGGAGAGGGAGGGTTTAGAGAGGGAGAGGGAGGGTTTAGAGAGGGAGAGGGAGGGTTTAGAGAGGGAGAGGGAGGGTTTAGAGAGGGGGAGGCGGGGGGACTGCTGGAAGGTTTTAGGGATCATGTGGGGGGAGGAAATGAGGGTGTGAGGACGAGGCGAGGTGATAATGATGGTTTCCCCCGGTTTGTTATTGCTGCCTTTGAGTAGGGGGGATTGGGAGGGGGGGGGTTTTGACCCGGGGGCTATGAGGGGAGACGAGGTGGGGGGGGGGCGAGGTTTGGGGAGAGACGCAGAGGCGACCATGTTGGCTTTAGACACCCCAACAGGTAAAGGTAAAGTCCTGGAAGTGTTCAGCACCGAGAGTCTGTGGGTCACCCCCATCCCGTCCACTCTGACCGAGGGGAGGGGGGCGGAGGTGACGGAGAGGGGGCGGGTCAGGGGGGTGGAGGTGACGGAGAGGGGGCGGATCAGGGGGGTGGAGGGGGAGGAGAGGGGGGTTCGGGAGAGGGGGGTGGAGGGGGAGGAGGTAGAGATGTAGAGCGCTGGGCTGAGCGAGTTCTTCTTATGCTGCTGGAGGAGGATCGGAGAGGCGTGGAGCTGGAGCTGGGAGGGTTTGAAGGTGGGGCTGAGGGTCTGGGTGGGTGAGGGTCTGTCGGGGGAGGGGGGGCTGTCTCCCTGAGCGAGGCCCTTGGCGGCGTTCCCCAGGATGGCCAGAGCCTGAGAGATGGAGTCGAGAGACGGAACCGTCAGCTGGTCGTCAGAAGAGTCCAGACAGATGGTCTCAGACGGAGATAGAGGCGGTCGCTTAGCAACCTGAGCGGCAGGAGTCTGGACCAATGGACTCGAGCGCTGCATCCACACCGCCTCCTGCAGGGTGAGACACATGTTTATACATCAATGACAACATCTACACTACCAGTCAAAAGTTTTATTTAAATGTTTTCTATATTGTACATGTATACCGAAGACATCAAAAGTATAAAAGAACACATATCAGGGTTCATACAGTTTTTCACCAATGATTTTCAATGACTTCTCCATGACCTTTACCTAATTTTCCATGACCAAAAAAATTACTCTTTCTCAGCGGTACCACTGAAAATGGTTTATTTTAACATGGAAAAGGAAAATAAGGTCTGAAACATGTTGTGCCTATCTAAAACAAATCAAATAGTAGGCTTACTAGCTCCCACACTCTAAAGCAGGGGTGTCAAACTCAAGGCCCGGGGGCCAAATCCGGCCCGTGACTTCATTTCATGCGGCCCCACAAGAGCTTTTAAAGAATATAATATGTTTATTATACAGTTACATGCCGATTTACAGAAGCGTTGCCCATAAACTACATGTCCCACAATGCATCTCAAATTTGACTTTTTTTCTCAGAATTTGACTTTTTTTCTTCAAAATATGCCTTTTATCTTAGAATTTGCCTTTTTGCCAGAATTTGACATTTAAAAAAAAAAAATTCAAATGTTTTGTTTTTACTTTGTTTCCAGAATTTGGCTTTTCTTTTTAAATCATCTTGTGACATTCTCACTGAAGAGACTTGCAATTATTTTCCCTTCTTCTGCTTTCAAACATAGTTAATTATGAAGTTTTTACCCTATCCCATAATAATCCAATGCAGAGGCAATAATGTAATACATTATTTTATATATGAAATATTTGTATAATATATGTATTTTTATATAGTCTTAAAGTTACAACCGGCCCTTTGAGTGCAACCATAATGCTGATATGGCCCGTGATGAAATTGAGTTTGACACCCCTGCGCTAAAGCAACTAAAATCTCTCGGCAGCAAAATACCTCGTCAGTTAAATGCCATTTTATGTTTCATTACTATACGATACAGTATTTATTAACATTATAGTATTACTATTTTGGTGATTAGATAACATATAAATTATATTTGATGCAACTTTAGTTACATTTCCATGACTTTTCCAAAACTTTGGGAAAAATATTGTTTTCCATAACTTTCCCAGGGCCTGGAATTAGCATTTTGAATTTCCATGATTTTCCAGGTTTTTAATGACCGTAAGAACCCTGACATATGGAATTATCTAGTAAACAAAAAAGTGATAAAGAAAGCAGAATATGATTTATATGATACGACTAAAGACACTCGTACACACACCTAAAAATCCCATTCATCCTTCTCCCTGTCCACAGTGATATAGGTCTATCTTGTAAACATTGACAACTGTTTGTCATTTCATTTTGCGGCATAGAGAGGTGCAGGAATGAGTCCTAAAACCCGAAAAGGAGTCAGCATTTTTAGCACTTCCTGACCCCTCGTTTAAAAGCCAATGTTTTTTAACTTGGTTTTGAGCCTGAAATAAGGTCAACACGAACATTAACTTATTTTACTTCATGCTAGCCCTAAGAGTTGTTTCGGACCAAATGGAAAGTTTAAGGTCAGCAGGACTGCCTGAATTTAACACACAAAAAGACTCCTGGTCATTTTAGCTTTTAACCGACACGTCACATGTGGACCGGGTTCAAGCTGAGGACGTTGTTATTACGTGGGCCCTGTTTAACTATAAGGGCGCACTACAGGGTTAAATGAATGGCCAACAAAATGTAAAAAATCCAACTTATACTTGGTTTTCCGGTCACTTTGCTGAATCTTGCTAAACAACATTCGGGGCAGTTTATTGTATTCTAGTAAACCACAGGTATATTACATCAACACTGAACATGTCTCTCTCGTTTATCTTCAGACACTGCGTCTCTGAACTTCTGTGCTCACATGAGTGCATAACTGCGCCGCAATGCAGCTAAAGAAGTTTTAAATGTTGTTTCTACGACATAAAATAGGTCAGTAAATACTAGGGATGGGAATTTGAAAGCAAATATATATTCGAATATTCGACCCCCCAAAAAACGGTTAACCGGTTAACCGAAATGTACATATCCTATAAAAAAATGTTTGGGTACATTTGCCCAATTTTCAATAATTTTTGGAAATAAATACATACATGTTCAAATACGTGTAGAACCAAGTCGAATTTGTCAAATGTATTGAACTGGTGATCACAGTTTGACAGCTATAGGCCTACAGCTTTCATGTGCGGAGGCGATTCACTATCAGGCCAGCTGTAGAGAAGACCCTCTCAGCTGGAACGGAGGTTGCGGGTATAGCAAGTTATAGCAAGTTATAGCATGTATATATAAGTTTAATTTGGCATAGTTTGACCTCTACACCGCACTCACTAACCTGGACGAAATATATCCACACATTACTCCTTTTTGACGCCATGTCTGTTGTGTAGGACTCTTCTTAGAGTGTAAATAATTACCGGGCTATGACTGGTAAAATATGTTGAATACCGGCAAAACTAAATCTCTCCCGTCAAAATGTCTATGTACTTTGCCGCCACACACGGTTGCCAAGCAGCGCTTATTGTTGTTTAGGCTGGCCACTCATGTGTCGCGAGTGTTGACGGGGCGGGGGAGCACGCTCATGAACTGTTAGCGCCGGAACCTCGCAACGGCTGCGGAGCGCATTTGCGCCACATTTGGGCCTAAGATGAGGTTTGAGTCCGCGTGATCTGCGTGTAGGGAGGGGCAGCAGCCATATCATTGGCTAGAACTAGCTAGATCTGATGGATTTGGACATAAACGCGAGTGAAGTATAACCGGACGCGAGAGAGAGATCAGCACCTGCAGCTCTGCCCGCTGTGAGGGACCGGTGAGCGGAGCAAAACACACCTTTAGACGTCAACTAACACATTTAGCTATGGCACTGTACATTGAATTATTCAATTTGATAATATCAACTTAGACATCACTGCCAAAAAGAAAAGAAAAGAGAAAGACATTTTTAATAAAAATATTCATAACTCATATTCGAATACATGAATAATTTTGAATATTCGATTAATCGTTCCCATCCCTAGTAAATACCCCACTGTTGTTTTTTTAAAAACATAGGTTGCTAACCAGTGTCTAAATGAGACGACTAAACGTCATCACGCTCAACATTAGCCGCCTTTAGCTTAGCGGTGGTGATGTGAAGTCATGTGACCGTGCTGTAGTTCCTTTATAGCCCAACATTAGCCGCCTCTAGCTTAGTGGTGGTGACGTAAAGTCATGTGACCGTGCTGTAGTTCCTTTATAGCCCAACATTAGCCACCTTTAGCTTAGCGGTGGTGACATGAAGTCATGTGACCGTGCTGTAGTTCCTTTATAGCCCAACATTAGCCGCCTCTAGCTTAGTGGTGGTGACGTAAAGTCATGTGACCGTGCTGTAGTTCCTTTATAGCCCAACATTAGCCACCTTTAGCTTAGCGGTGGTGACGTGAAGTCATGTGACCGTGCTGTAGTTCCTTTATAGCCCAACATTAGCCGCCTTTAGCTTAGCAGTGGTGACATGAAGTCATGTGACCGTGCTGTAGTTCGTCGTTGTGATGATAGCATTTACTCTTCAACTATTATAAAAGTGGTGTTAAAAGGTGGAGATTATCCGGCTGAACCAAACTTGAAAGTATCATAAACGTGAGTTTGCCAGAGATGTATTCCCAAATCGAATTTTAAAAAATCCCATTGGTTTTGATATTGATTCCCATTGATATAGAAACAAGTCTGACCTTTGATTTGGCTTTGGGAGTAGAGACCATCTTTTTCTTTGCCCTGCAGCGAGAAAACATCACAAGTGAGTGAGAACAAGCTTTACAAGTCAGAGTTAGTTATATGTTGATAAAAAGTCACATGACTCACGTGTAGCCTGTGATGTGACCATGAGCCATGATGCTCTCTTTGAACAGCATCCTGGAAACACAAATACAATATTAACACAAGCTGCGGTGGAGAGTAAATTCACTGAAGTATTTTATTTAAGTATTTCTATCCAATGCTAATAGGTAAAGGCAAGTAAAAGCCATAGATGAAGACATGTAATAAATCATGAGAATAGTTTTCAGTAAGACACACACCTGGCCTGCATCCAGCCTTTGGGCCAGAGCGGCTTCACCTCCGTCTCCATGAAGGCTTTGAGGTAATCCTCCAGAGAGAGAGAGTTCTTCCCCTCCAGCTCGTAGCAGCCCAGCTTCACCCGCACCAGAGTACACAGCAACAACCTGAGAACAACACAACACACTCCATCACAACACACTCCATCACTACACACCACAACACAACACTCTTCCTAGGTGACACTGACCTGAGCTTGTCGTCCCAGACAAACTTCTTTCGAGGACCCATCACCCTCTTCCCCGGCTTCTCCTCATCTTCGTCCTCAGAGCCGTTCTTCTCCGCCTCGCCCGACTGCTGCCTGTCAACACACAATAAATGGCATCAACAGATCTGTAGAGCTGGGCTGAATGACTATTGTTTAAACAAAAATGATGTATATGTGCCAAAGCAAACAGATATGGAGACTCTGATGACCTATGTTTGTGACTCAACAACATGGGATCTTACTTTGCCACTTTAGCGATACAGTCCATGTTGTAGCGAGCGATCTGCTCCGGCATCACGCTGCACACCGCCAGCTTCAGCTTCAGCAGCGGCGTCCGGAGACGGTCGTCCCTGGGAGAGGACGGGCAGAACGGCAGAAAGCCACACACCCACACACACCCACACACCACACACACTCACACACACACACACACACACACACACACACACATCACACACACCCACACAACCACACTACACTACACACACCACACACACACACACACACAACACAACACACACACACACACACGACACACACACACACACACACACACACACACACACACACACACACACACACACACACACACACACACACACACACACACGAAGCCCCCAGGAAGTGCCCCATAAAAATGCATTTATAGGAAGGAACAGGCCCCGCCTCCAACACTGTATCCAGTTCTCTTCATATATCCATGCATGGCACACTTACAAGCTAAATATAGACTCAGGTAACGAGGGCACAGCCAAGAGTCCCAGAAACAACGACTCAGCTTTCACCTTTCAAACACACCTGACAGCTCATTGGCTCTTACTGCTGCTTCTGTCAAATCTAACATAAGTGTCCTGGCACTAAAGGGCCAGGACATACTTCAGATGTTCTGCTACGGCTCTTAGTTTTTTTGCTCCAAATATCTGGAACAAACTACCAGAAAACTGCGAGTTGTCAGCAGGTCTTACTACTTTGAATAAAGTAGTAAGACGGCACCTCTGTTGTTTCCCCGACTCAGACTGCAATGAATCTGGGTGTGACCCTAGATAACAACCTGTCCTTCACTGCAAACATCGCTGCTACAACCCGCTGCTGCAGATACACGCTTTACAACATCAGGAGGATGCGTCCCCAGCTGACCCAGAAAGCGACTCAGGTTCTGGTCCAGGCTCTCGTCATCTCACGCCTAGACTACTGCAACTCCCTCCTGGCTGGTCTACCTGCATGTGCCATCTGACCTCTGCAGCTCATCCAGAATGCAGCGGCTCGTCTGATCTTCAACCTTCCTACATTCTCCCACACCACTCCGCTCCTCCGCTCCCTTCACTGGCTTCCGGTAACTGCTAGAATCCACTTCAAGACACTGGTACTTGTGTACCATGCTGTGAATGGATCTGGCCCTTCCTACATCCAGGACATGGTTAAACTGTACACCCCAGCACGTGCAGTTCGCTCTGCATCAGCCAAACGGCTCGCTGCACCCTCGCTGCGAGGGGGACCCAAGTTCCCATCAGCAAAAACACGTGGGTTTGCTATCCTGGCTCCAAGATGGTGGAATGAGCTCCCCATTGACATCAGGACGGCAGATAGCTTACACATCTTCCGGGGCAGACTGAAAACTCATCTCTTTCGACTCCACTTCGAGCGTTAGAATTACTAACAAAGCACTTATACACTAAAGGACTGGCTTATCTAAAGCCAGTTGAGTAGCACTTGAAATGTTTGGCTCTATGAAACCTGATGTACTTATATGATTCTGTTTTCTTCAAGGTTGTGTCTTCCTGGTCGAATGCACTTATTGTAAGTCGCTTTGGATAAAAGCGTCAGCTAAATGCAATGTAATGTAAAGGCTGAGAGTAAAGTATGTGTCTCCCGCTCACCTGTATGTTGAGGCTGAGCTTCTTGAGGCGTTTGAGCAGAGCCTCTTTGTTGCAGGGCACGAAGGCCTCCAGGTGACAGTAGACCACTGAACGCACCTCAGCCGGCTGCTCCTGCACCTGCAGCTCAATACTGACGACACACAGAGAGAGAGAGGTCAGATCTACGCACATTTACATGAGCTGTTTATATAAATAATAATCTGATGGGGCTCACTCCAGCAGGATGTTGTTCATGTCCAGCGTGAAGAACTTCTTCCTGCCCTCGGCATCGAACAGACGGGACGCCTGAGAGGAGAGGAGCATTACACTTTATCAACATCACGTTTAATTTCTGCTCCTGGTACTAGGATGGGTTCAAAGCAGAGACCAAATGTCACTGTGTGCTCTGCATGTGTGACCATTAAAGAGGGTTATATCCTCCAATTCCATCTATTTTGTTAAAGAATATAACAGACTAACCCATAGATTCCACCGGGTCCGTCTGCGCGGCCACTCTAGTCAATGGGTGCTATTCCACCAGACGCGCCGCGTTACGGCTCAGAAGCGTCTCGGCGCTGGGCTCCGCTAAAAATAGGCGGCTGGTCTATTTTCGACGCGACGCGTTGCATAGCGCCGGGCAGGAAGTGGACCGGTCAGAGCATACGGCCCATCCCCAAAATAAACTAATTTGCAGACCCTATCCCTCCGTAGTCTTTCAAGTAGGAGGAGAAATGCCAGCGTTCTCCACCGGTTTACAGGCACTGTGTCAATTATATATATATATATATAGCCCGGTGGGGTTTGACGCTGTAAGAGGTCGGAACAAATCCGTGACGCAACCGTAACGCGGCGCAGATGGACCCGGTGGAATCCCGGGGTTAGGCTGCACAATTATTACTAATATTATATTTAATATTATATTTAATATTAATATTATTATGTGGACAAAACTAATATAATCTCCAGACAAGATTTAATTAATTTTAAGTTAAATGTATTTTTTTTTCAAAATGACTAGTCTAAATAATCTGCAGAAAAGTTAAAAATTAACATAATTATTTTCTTTATTTTATGTACTTTTAGTTTGTGCTTTTTGGTTGTACATGTTAATCTCAATAAAAATGTGATCACAAGAAACACATTAACATAATTCTTAATTGCAGTCTTGATCTAACACAGTGTAATATTAACTCCCGTACCGCTCTGAGGTCCTCGATGCGTTTAGTGAGCGGTGCTGGGAGTCCGCTGGGCAGAGGGGGGGGCGCCATGACCCCCTGACCCCCCCTGCCCCCTGCTGTTTTGAGCCCGAAGGCCCCATTCTCCGCCCCCTGCAGAGGGCTGTGCTGCGGGGAGTCCAGCATCTCGAAGTCCAGGTCGCCCATCATGTCCTGCAGGATGTCGTTATTGGTCGATCCGAGCAGTGACATCACAGCGGGGTCGGAGGTCAGGTCTGTAATGTTGCAATCGGCCGCCCCGGAGACTTTAGCCTGGGCGTTGATCAGCCCGGTGCTGCTGTTGCCGGTGGCGACTGCGACTGCGACTGCGACGATGGGAGCTTTGGCGTTGGCACGAGCCAGCGCGTGGGCGGTGAAGTTCTTCTTCCTCATCTCCTCCTTCTCCCGGGTGAAGCGGCGCAGCATGTTGGCCAGGTGGATGGAGTCCTTCATCAGCTTCTTCCTCTTCTTCTTCTCCGGGCGGTGCACGTTCAGGGAAACTCTGCCAGGGACAGGAGATACAAAGAGAGACGTTTAATGCACCATTGTTTAATGGAGTGGTGGTGCAGGAATGAGTCATAAAACCCAGAAATTAGTCCTTTGTTTAGCCCAGCCTTAAAGTCATGTTTGTTTGTTTTTTTTATTGTTTTTTGGTTTACAAATGAGACGGCTAAACGTCATCACGCCCATCATTAGCCACCTTTAGCTTAGCGGTGGTGACGTGAAGTCGTGTGACCGTGCTGTAGTTCCTTTATAGCCCAACATTAGCCTCCTTTAGCTTAGCGGTGGTGACGTGAAGTCATGTGACCGTGCTGTAGTTCCTTTATAGCCCAACATTAGCCACCTTTAGCTTAGCGGTGGTGACGTGAAGTCGTGTGACCGTGCTGTAGTTCCTTTATAGCCCAACATTAGCCTCCTTTAGCTTAGCGGTGGTGACGTGAAGTCATGTGACCGTGCTGTAGTTCCTTTATAGCCCAACATTAGCCACCTTTAGCTTAGCGGTGGTGACGTGAAGTCATGTGACCGTGCTGTAGTTCCTTTATAGCCCAACATTAGCCTCCTTTAGCTTAGCGGTGGTGACGGGCAGTTTAGATATTATGTGAATGCCTGAGAGCCTAATATGAAAACACTGAAGAAACCTCACCCAGCCTTTGGTACTTTATTCTTTCTGGGTTTCTTTTCCTCCAGAATACCACCATCTTGCTTTTTCCGACGCTTCTTTATCACCCGCTCCTCGCCGTCTTTCATCTTCTGCAAACAGGTGCAAACAGTGTGGTTTTATGGTCTAACAGTCACTTTAGGTACAGTAAGAACACCATCGGGAAACTGACATATGTGTATACTTGACTCAATGCACGTACCTTGAAGCGGTTATCCTCCGTGCCGCCGTTTTCCCCCTCTGAGTCTGAAGCCGCTCTGAACTGCAGCGTTCCGGTGTTGATGTAGAAACCTCCGTGTTTCGTGGTTAAAGAGGCCGGCACCAGCTCATCATACTGAGGAGGGGAGGAAAACAGGATTACTGTTAGTCTTATTCTCCTACTGCGCCTGCGTTTAACACTGCTTGGAATAACAACCATTTCCCAAAGTCTATTCGACTGTATACTCAACGTTATGATCTTTAAACCAATGCCAAAAGAAATGTTAAAACTAAAGTAAAAGTAATACTAAATTGTAAAAATACTCCGATGCAAGTAAAGTCCTGAGAAGAAAATTAAAGTGTTGGATTACAAATATACTTAAGTACTTTATTCTCATTTCAGAATCATTGAAATTAAATTCCCATATCGCATTTTAAGAAAACTGTTTCTACATTGAACCTTAACTCAGAAAGAAAAAAAGCTTTTCTCGAAGATTTGAAACGTTTTTCTTTGTTTTCGGATGTCTGCGATTTCCCCAATGAGTAAAACAATTATCCGTTGTGGGACAATAACATCTTTTACCTCCGACAACTTAGTTTGGCTTGCTTATTTTGTCGCTAATAAAACAGTGTCCTAGTGAACTCACAGCCTCTGAGTTGTCGATGAAGGGGTCGGTGTCATCGTATCCAAAGCCGATGTCGATGAGATCCTGCATCCGGTCTTTCTTCTTCTTCTTTGGGACACCACCCTGCAAACAGCGGGATGATATTTAAAGAAAACATTCACAAAGACATATTAGACATTCCTTGGTTTGTCATCCACACAGTTCAAACTGGGCTAACTTGTTTCTGGGTTCTGTGGGGGAAACTTCTGAAGCAATTGGAGTCAGGACTCAGAGAGACACGAGGAGAGCTGGAGCTTTGATGGCAAACACTGACGGTTTATTTGGAGCTTCGGCCGGAGAATTCACAAGACATGTCACGGGCTGACCATACGGTTGAGATGCCACAATCAATTCTGAAGAACTCTTCTGTAGCTCCAGGTTTTAACTAGTTCAGAGTGTAATAATCAATATTCTTTATCAGTGAGACTAAAGCAATATGGACCCTGAATCTAACTAGAGCTCTCGTCCATAGGAAAGTATATGCGCCAGGGAACCTTCGTCCCTGAACAGTAAACTACCTCATGGCGGCTTGTGCTCTGTCATAGACTGGCAACAACAATGCCCCCAAGCTGCTCCTATTAAGAGAGATAGCAGCAATACCCAAGGCCGTAGATCTATGCCACGGGAAAGGAGACAGTGAGAGGAGAAAATGATGAACTGTGTCAAAGGTTGAATACCTAAGCAAATTATTCCCCAACAGGTTTCAGGACTCATTCCTACACCACTGAGGCTCCATCACTCACGTATTTGTTCTCAAACTTCTTGGCCATCGCCTCCACTTCTCGTCTCTCTCTGTTGTCGTCAGCAAACGGGTCGCTGGGGTCCAGCGGGGGGGCAAGGCCTTTAGGGACCTTTGAACCTTGAGGCTTTACCTGAGGAGAAACAAGACATTGGCAAAGGGATGAAATAGGGGTAACGGGCATTTTAGGTTTCCCTTTTTAAAGTGCCTGTTCTCAAATGAACATGTTCAACGTTCACAATAAATACATATGGACCATGATAATAACAGTTATTCACCGGGTCCCTGCACATCTCAATATATCTCAGTGTGCAATATACACTTTTTGGCAATTTATTATTGTCACCATCTACTACTCTGTGAAATAACAGTTTAATGTGCAATATACATATTTGTTCCTTTTTCTGCACTGTACATCTCCACAAAAAGGATCACTGCCTTATCAACAGCACTCTTGCACACTTAACAGTAAATATATAAAGAGTGCAACATCTAAATGCATCTGGGAGTGCAATAAACTTTATTCGCAATGTTTACTTTTTAAAATGTATTATTGTTCTCACTAGCTGCCAGACTGTAACACCACTGTTTTGTTGTAAAAAAAGATATGTGCAATATTTGCAATGCTACTTCACTAAATGGATATGTTTACTTACTTTCATATTGCTAATACTTCCTGTGAAATGTGTACTTCAGAATCAGAGTACCTTTATTTGTCAAATATAATAAATGAGTGTGATAGCAGCCAGATAACAGTAGTGAAAGTATATATTGCACAGTTATTACAGACTGTATTACAGTAGTTGAATAGTCTAAACAAGAGATAGCAGCCATTTATAATAATACAACAAAATATTTTATAAAACTTTTATTACATGTTAGTCTACTCATTTTATGTGCATCTTGCAACATACTCTTGAACTATTTTATTTATATTCTGTTATTTCTTGCACTATTTTGATTGATTTTATGTCTTATATGTAATTACGTTTCATTGTTAAAGAAGCTTGGGACTTCAGTTTTTCATGCTGTGCATATGACAATAAAGCCTTTGCATCTTCAACTTACTACTTTTACTTAAGTGCAAGATCTGAGTACTTCTTCCCCCTTTGCTGACAGTATCCCTGGGCAAGTGCTGCCGGGTTTAGCCCTCCTTGAAGCCACAATGGAGCCTCCACTGACCTGAGGCTGAGGCTGAGTCTGAGGCTGGGATGAGTTGACCAGCTCTCCGTAGTTGAACTCTGATGAAGCCCGGTCACTGGGCTCAGCCAGCGGGAGGAGCAGCCGCACAGAAGGCTTCACCTCCCCGGTGACTCCCTCTCCTCCTGTCGGTGTCACATTCCCGAACGGAGCTCCTCCACTTACACCTCCATCTCCTGACCCGACAACAGAACCACCTCCACCTCCATCTTTCCCACAAGTCACCTCGGCGGCCTCATCTTCCCGGCGGCGCTTTTTGCTGGACTCCTGCTGGGGGGTCGGAACCACCGGCGAGGTGTTGAAGGACGAGATAGTGACGAACGGTACTTTCCTCGGTTCTGCCATTTGACGCTCTTTAACGGAACCGGGTCACGTAAAGTCACGCAAACCGGGAAACCTGGAGACGGTCGTCAAGAAGAAGAAGAAAGCTAGTTGCTATGCTAGCTTAGCTTCCCTTTAGAATGAGTGGTTGAAGCAACACAGTTACTTTTATATCCTTTTAGCCCGTGTTAATCCATAAAGTAGTATCCCTGGTAGAGCCCCCGTCTCCTAAAAGGGACTTAAACTGTGAGAAAAGGCAGTTTTAAACGCTTCCATGGAACTGGAGGTTGGCTACCGCAAGGAGGATTCTGTAGTAGCCATCTTGATCATTATTATCATTATTCAGCGGTTGGGCGGTGCGTAACAGCAATTGACCAATAGGGGAGCGGGAACAGCGTTTGACCAATAGGAGAGCCAGAACACGCCCACCTTACGGATACGCGCCAACGTCTCCTTTTGCTTTTAGCCCGTGTTAATCGTGTTAATCCATAAAGTAGACAAACGATGCAACTCTTTTATAAACTTTAAAGGTGGTGATTTGAGACAAATACTGATACAACTAATTGAATGTATACTCTGTATATGTACCTATGTCCCCCTGATGTCAATGTTTTGTTTGTTTATAATATAAAGGAACAAATAATTCCATAAAGATGTGTTTTAAACGCTTCCATGGAACTAGGTGGTTCTGTAGTAGCCATCTTGGTCGTTAATATCAACGGCTGGGCGGTGCCAGCGCCATATAGACTGATATATATAGATTCTATCTATATGGCGCTAGGCGGTGCCAGAGCCCTAGAGAGATAAGAGTTACGACACTCCCATAGACCTCCGTTGTAAAAAATGGCGCCGCCTACTTCCGGGGTATGGACATCGAAATAGTTCAAAATATTGTCATTTGGGCGTTGAACCTCTATGGGCATAGATATGTCTCATAATTATTTGTGTGAACATAAAAATAATTTGTGTGTAAATATGTGATTTGTAAATGTAAAACAACATCCACAAATGCATTTAAAATATTTGCAAACTCACAAATACATTTGCAAGTGTAAAACGGATCTGCAAATACGCTAAATATGTTCACAAATTAAAAAAAGATCTGTGAATATCTCTTTAACATTTACACCTTTCGATCAGGCATTTGTGAATCCATTTTGTATTTGTGGACCAAAAATGCGCTTGCGGATCTCAAATCTCTGTTCACGGATCTCAAATCTCTGTTCGCGGATCGTCTTTTTACACACACGGAATTTTGAGACATATTTTCCGCCGGTCTCGGCTAAAATCTACTCGTGTCACTCGGTTATTTTCGGAAACCACGTGATGGCCCGCTGTTGACGACATTTCTGCATGATTTCAAAGTAAGAGCATGATGGTTTGTTTAATGCTCTGTTTTTGTATTATAATGAACAGCGGAACGTTAGATGCATTCTTTATCACCATAACCCTGACCTAAATACGGTGCTTTTCTACAGATTACTTTATTACTGCACTGGTAAGGTACAATTAGGCCGATTAATAAGATGTGAAGTGCTTTGTAACTTCGACCCGCTTGACTGAATACACAACAAACAATGAAGAAAGAGTTTTATCTGGGCTGTTTCGCTGCCAGCTGCTCCCTCGGGACCCGAAAGTGGCGTATAGCCTGCACTTCAACATCAACGAAAGTGCTCGATATATGCTGTATTGAACCAATAACACAAACTAACTGTATCACTATAACATGATGGTGATGGTGATGGTGATAAAGAATGCATCTAACGTTCCGCTGTTCATTATAATACAAAAACAGTAATCAGCACTTTTTTTTTTCACCCACAGAGCATATTGGAACTCTACAGGGCAGACGAATGGACGAAAATGTGTTTTCCAGGCAGTCTTGAGTGAAGCGGCTTGTGAGAACAAATGTGTGCCCTTGTCTCAACAGGTCATGCTGGACCTCCAGCATTGTTGTTGTGGCCATGGGCGTCGCCTGGGGTAGGCATCCGGGGCTTTAGCCCCGGATGTTTTTTCTTTAGCCCCGGACAAATTCTCCCTCAATAATATAATACATTAACCGTACTTTACCTAGAGGATGGTAGAATTGTAATTTCCCGTGTTCAGTGAATGCAACAGAGGCAACCACCAGACCAATCCGAGAGTTGCATGGAAATAAACGTGTTTTATTGGCTGACCTCTCCTTTGTGACAGTGTTTAAACTTTCAGCCGCGGGCGCGGAGTTTCTGAAGATGGACATTAGACATTTTTTAAATAAAAAATACGGCAATTCTCAAGTGGTAGCTCACACAACAACCCCAGAGCCACCACCTGAGCCAGGTGAACAAGGTATGTACATGTCAGTAAACTTACAAGTTATGTCAACATGTAAGCAAAGCATACATTATAGCTACGTTGACGTTACTTTGAATCGCGGGGGTAAGCTAAACCGTTAGCAAGTAGCTATAGCTAGCCAGATATATTAAATAAACACTTTGTCATAAAATCTAAATGTTGTGTTTTTTAGCGTTACCTGGTGATTTCAAAGAAAGCTCTCTGGGAAATGTTGACTTACTGTCTGTGTTCGACATGAAGCTAGAAGCTACCTTACATTACACAGTTGATCCGGAGTCCTGTCAGTTAAAGTGTTTCATAGTTAGCTTAGCTAAGCATCAACCTAGCACTGAAATATATGGATGTTATGTGACGGTATTTCTGAGGAAAAGTCAGCTGAAATGGTGGCATAGTTGCCACTGCTTTACGTGTCAACAGCATGTTTGAACGTATTTGCAGCAGTAAATGTGGCTGTTTGGCCACTGACGTTGCCATAACAACACCTGAATTTAAATGTGCAACCTCTTTTTGTGACAGATTTTTGCATGAAATTATAATTCTTCTGATTGATATTCCTATTGACAGCTAGTTTCTATGTGTACATTATGAGATGGACAGCCAGCTAACAAGCTTTCAGATCAAAGCTAATCCAGTGGGGCTCCTGAAAGGGGCAAGGGACACTATGCTCCCAAATATTAAGCCTTGACCCCCATCTTAAAATTGATATGATGACAAAATGATCTGCATTGTCGGAGGCCTTTTTTCCTCATTATCATGTCAAATTGTACAGCTTTCCTTAGTTTTGAATGCAGAAAGATGACTATATTAGAGTATTAAGTGAATTACTCAAACTGCATTTGTATAGGAATGATTATGTCCTATTGGCAGATAACTACTCTAACAGTGATATCTACAAGAGATGTACATTTAACTATTTTCAATTGGTTAGTATTACATTTTGTGACAGTGTGGTGACACTCATTTTAATGAAGACAAATTTGTGTATCTTGAAATTCATTTATTTGACAGAGCTGGAAACTGATTGACTTACATACTTGTTTGTGTTTACCTACACAGTCATCACAGATGAGCCAAACAGAGTAGAGCAGGCATCCTCAAACTACGGACTCCGGTCCGGATCCGGACCGAACCACCACTGTCTCCGGACTCTGAGCAAATTATACTTTTCATATGTATTATCTCTCTGTATTATATGTGAGACATCGCCACAACGCATTCGCAACGAGTCAAAATTCTCCGCTATGTCCACTGCAAACAGCGCTCTGCATGTCTGACTGTTCCACTGTGTTCCACCTGTGTGTGTCAACGCTTTGGTCCAATCACATTCAGCATCCAGTCAGCGTTTTTTCCCCCCAAACAATCTGCGAATCAGAGGCACAGTAGGGCGGGTCTTCGCGGAATGCGGGTAGGAAAAATGTGTGTGTCTCTTTCAACCTGTCTAAGTCAGAGCGAGAATTAAAAAAACAAAATTCAGAGCGAGAGTTAACAGCTCATCTAGTTCCATCTGTACTGTAGCTAGTAGCCTAGTTTCACCTACCGGGGTGGCAACTGACACCCTAAAAATAGGCCTTGCCACCCCAGCTGCCACCCCAGTTGGCAGCTTTGTTTTGAAAGAAAAGTTGTGGCTCATCGGACATTTATGAGAGAAATTCTCTAATGTCCGAGTGCAAGTGAATGCAGCACAAGATGCACGTCATGCACGTCCCCCGGTCCTGGCGCGAGCGTGGACATACGATTGGCGGCGATTTCATTTTGAACTGGACGGCGCAAAACGAGAAGCATTCTGACCCAAGCACTGAAGGAATGAGGTATTTGCGGTCTACAATGACAGAGAAGAGACTGTCAGTGTGGTTGCACTCAGCATTGAATCAAAACGCACTAAAGCTGTTTATCTTAATACGTTTGTGAGGCGTTTTGCTGAACAAAATGGTAATCGCCGCATTCAGCTGTAATAGACATGTCAACTTGATGCTCTGCTCACGGATGAGCATACACAACTATTAAAGGTGGGGTAGGTAAGTTTCAGAAACCGGCTCGAGTGCACTACAATGTGAAAATACACAGCCGAAAATAATTCCTTACAGAGCAGAGCACCTCCTCCAACACACATGAACGCGCACATGACGTCTGCAGACTGGTGAAAGTGGCCGCCTGGCGAGTCATTGAAGTACTGCTGCAATGCACGCCCAATGAGGGCACGAGATACATTTGTGCGTACACGAGATGGAAGGCTGACAGACAGGGCGGCAATCCAATCCGTTTAGCCGGGCCGGCTAAACGGATTGGTTGTACTTTTTACAGTATTACGGCTTCCACAGATGACATTTTTTTATGGATTTGTTGTCAAAACGTCAGATATTCATTGCTATCGGGATGTTAAGAGCATTCCATGGAATATAACAAAAAGTGTATCTCGAGCCGGTTTCTCAAACTTACCTACCCCACCTTTAAGATGATGACCTTACGTGTGTAAATATATTGTTTTCTTTGAGGGGGTCTGCCCCCAAAAAACTGTTTTAAGTCCTGAGAAAGTCAAATAAGACGGTGTGTAAAACTACACTGCCCAGCCAAAAAAAAGTAACCACTTTGATTTAACTAGGCCAGTAGGTAAGGGCTTTCCACTGGATAATAACTGCAGTATAAAATAATGCATGACTGAAGTGATGGAGACCATGTTGAAGGCAAACAAAAAGAGGAAATAACAGGTCAAATCAAGCAAATCCCCCTCTCAGATTCCACAGCAACCAGAAGAACATACATACTGGCTGGTGATTTGATTAATCAGCTTTGTGATGGAATAAAAAATGCACAGTGCATTTCCTTAGCTGTGGGTGAGTCCACTGACACCACTGACAATGCTCAGTTGCTGGTGTTTGTGAGTTTTTATGATGAGGCAAAGGGGGAGTTTGTTGAAGATGTGTTGGGCCTGACGAACCTCAGTGGACACACAAGGGGGCAAGACATTTATAAAGCAATAATGGGAATGCTGAATGAAAGAGGGTGCAGCTGCCTTTATTCAT